ATATATATATATATATATATATATATATATATATATATATATCGAGATATATATATATATCTTCATTCTTTGACAGACATGACTAATGGATCATTGCACTCTTCTCTGGTGAATCCTGAAGGGGTCTCAACCTAGTTTTCCCAGAAAGTCACCACCAATGGATTGGATCAAGGGTCAGCAAACTACAGTCTGCAGACAAATCTGACCCACTGCCTGTTTCTGTAAATAAAGTTTTATTGGCACACAACCACACCAGCTCATTTATTTATTGTCTGTGACTGCTTTCCTGGGGCAAGGGCAAGGGTGAGTCATTGTGACAGAGCTGGTATAGCCCAGAAAGCCGAAAATATTTACTATTTGCCTCTTAAGAAAAATGTAGCTTGATTACAGCCTGAATGAGATATTAAATACACTTGTTCTTCCTGGATTCGAGGAATACCCTGCTCAGGACTAACTGCATTCTTTAACATTTTCCCTATTTTTCCCTAGCTTGTTTTCTTTTGTGACGTTGAAAAAGGGTGACTTGAAGTAAATTGCCCAAGAGTGCACTATTTTTCAATGTACAGCCAATGAATTTTCACATGTGAATACATTCATGTCGCCACCAGCCGGATCATGATAAAGTATATGTCCAGCCCCCAGAAGGATTTTCTGTGCCCTTTCTCAGTCAGTATCTGCCACCCTGAGGTCACCTCTACTCGGACCTTTCCTTTTCTTCATGGCAATAATTTACTGATTTACTTATTAATAATTTATTAATTTACTTTACTTATTTACAACTGGAAGGGAATGTCCATGAAGACAGCAAACTCTCTGCCTTGTCTACCAGTGTGTCCATGTCACTTAGGACATCGGTAGGGGCTTGTATTAGTTATCTACTACAGTGCAACAACTCGTCACAAAGCTAGCGGCTTAAAACAACACGTATTTATTATCTCTGTGTTTGTGTGGGTCAAGAATCCAGGCATGGCTTAGCTGAGTCTTCTGCTCCAGGATATCTCATGAGGCTGCAGTCAAGGGGTTGGCCAGGGCTGGAGTCTCATTTGAAGGCATGATTGGGAAAGGATCTACTTCCAAGCTCACGTGGTTGTTGGCTGGATTCAGTTCCTTCCGGGTTGTTGGAATGAGGGCCTCAGTTCCTTTCCGGATGTTGGTCAGAGTCTGCCCTCAGTTGCTTGCCAGAGGGGGGTCTCTCCATAGTGTAGTTCACTATATGGCATCTTGCTTCATCAAAGCCAGTGAGGGAGAGAGTCAGCTAACAAGACAGAAGTTACATCTTAGGTAACATAATCGCAGAAGTGTCATCTCATCCCCTTTGCCCTATTCTATTGTTTAGAAGCAAGTCACAGGTCCTGCCATCACTCAAGGTGAGGGGGTGACACAAGGGTGTGAATCTCAGGCGGTGGGCATCACTGGGGGACGTTTTAGGGTCTATCTACCACATTACTTGCACAATAAATGCCAAATATTACTAAATCCAATGTTAAATGATGGCACTGGGCAGGAGAGCTGTAAGAGTCAATATTCTTGCAGTTCCTCTCTTGCACAATGTAGAACTTCTGTGAAATCTACTTGTTTTTCTCCCCCCAACTTCCTTCTGATACTTTGTCACCGGCCTGGTCTGCTAGCCTGTGTGGGCTGCCCCAGGTTTTGAGGATTCACTCAAGGGAAGTGACCCACACACAACCCAGGCCCTTCAAGAATCTACAACCCAAAGATCACCATTCACAGAGCTCATTCTTTATACGCCAGGATCTCTGGAATTAATGAGTTGTATCTTATTTATTCTGTGCTGGAAGCGGTGTTCTTGAATGGGCACTTTGCATTTATGAGGTCTTGTTGCTAGCCAAGTTAATAATGCATCTAATAAAAAAAAGAAAGAAAGAAACATCGTTCAGTTGGGTAGATCTTATTAATATGATTCAATTTTAAAAGGGCCATTGCTTCAGAGTCTTGATGTCTGGGATGCCGTTAAAGAAAAAAAAATTTTCAGAGTCACCATGACAACAGAGAGACTCCCCCCCCCTTCTACACCCCTTTGAATCAATTACAGATTTGTCCATATAAGAGACTGGAACACATCCAGCTTATTGGAAATTCTTTTCTGCCTCCTTTGGCCAAAGCCCTGGCTTGTCCAGAGTGAGCAGGAGCCTCAAATCCATCAATATTTACTGATGAAGTCGTTGCCATTCATGAACAGGAACAGGAACAGGAACAGGAACTTGATCGGCAGACGTTTATTGATCGCGAGAAACTCTGGGGGATTCAGCGCCGTGACCATCTGAGAAGCTTACAGGCCTACTGCAGTGACGAGGCACAGCCACGCGAGGCATCAGGAGCTGCATGGGGCCCGCCTCTGGGTTGTACAGACCCTGCTGAAGGACCTGGGACCTGCACAAAGGACCCTGGTGAAGAACCATGATGTCATGACATGCGTGCTGGACAGTTCTGCCCTGCGAGGCGCGTCTTGATCTGTGGGGGAGGGCTGCAGTGATGCGAGGGTTGGGGAAACCTACCCTGGGCCTTGATGTTATACAAACTCAACCAGCAGATTGCTGGGTCACCCAGGCATGCCCTTTAACCTCTCTAGCCATTACTTTTATCCCTTACATAAAATGGGATTACATTTTTTCCTGCTGAACCCACAGTGATCACATGGCGATCTGTTGCTTGTTTGGCCAGATGTCTCCCCAGACAAGCCTTGGAGGCTGTTCTGGCAGTGACGATTCACTGTTGTCTTCGAGGCCCCCAGCACAGTACTGGGCATGTCCTAGGCACTCAATAAATGAATGAATGGGGAGTGGCGGCTTCTTGCAACCTCTCCATTCTTTGCCCACTCCTCCACACTGCCCTTATGCTGGCCTCTCACTCTTCCAAAGGGACTTGGGTCCATCCCCCCTTTGGTTCCCCAGAACAGCAGGGAGCACCCCAGTTGTCCCAGGACTGCTTTCCACTCCACCCCAGATATGGTTCAACTCAGCTTCTCTGCTTTGGACCATTTTGCAACCCAGGGAGGCTCCAAGGGCGTGGGATAGGGTGTTGGAGGCAGGTAGGATGGATAGAGAGAAGGGGCAGAGGAGGGAGGGTGAGGGCTGTGTAGCTCCTTGCTCCCTGTAAGATGTATGAGAATATACTGGGTGCTCTGGTATTGAGGGAGCAGCTAGATCCAAGAAGTGCTTTAGTTTCTTGGGAAACTAAAGAGTGGAAGGACTCTTTTGAGCCCTCATCAAAGTCAGGTGGAGAGGTTTTTCACTAAGCCCCAAGCAGGAGAAATGAAAGGAAAACTGCATCAAAGCAAATCATCATCTAATTGCTTAAAAGCAGTGATAGAGTGAAAATTATAAAAGCAAGCAGGAGCAAAAAAGACACATTACATAAAGAGGAGGAGAGAGAAGAATGACAGTAGATTCTTGTCGGAAACAATACAGATCAGAAGACAGTGGTGCAACATCTTTAAAGGACTGAAAGAAACAGACGGTCAACCTAGGATTCTATACCTAGAGAAAATATCTTTCAGAAACAAAGATGAAGTCAAGATATTATTCAAACATAGAAAAGCTGGAAGAATTTATCACCATAAGACGTATAGTACAAGAAATGTTAAAGAGAGTCCTTTAGGCAAAAGGAAAATGATAATAGATGGAAATCTGGGTCTACACAAAGAAATGGAGAGCGCCGGAAATGGTGAATACATATGTAAGCATAAAATGCCTCTTTCTTATTTTAAAAACCACCTTAAAAGATTGTTGATGTTTTAAAGCAAGAATGATAACAATGTATTATGGAGTTTGTAACAAATGTAGATGTAAAATGTATGAAAACAATATTGCAAAGAGCAGGAGGGGGAAACCGAAGCATATTTTAATAGGTTTCTGATACTGACCATCAAGTGGTAAAACAAAACTAGCATGACTGTGATAAGCTAAAAATGTATACTATAACCCTGATACAACCATTGGAAATAAAAAACCAAAGAGATATAACAAATAAGCAGAGAAGGTAAAAAGAAATAATAAAAAATACTCAACAAAAAAGAAGCAAAAAAATATAGAATGGGACAAACAGAAAACAAATAGTAAAGTGATACCATTAAACCCAACCAAATTATTAATCTCATTAAATAAAAATAGTTTAAACACCTCAAATAAAAGGCAGAGATTGTCGGATTGAATAAAAAAGCAATGTACAACTTTTTGATGCTTACCAAAAAACTACTTTAAATATAAAGACACAAATAGATTAAAGGGAAGAGGGAAGGAAAAGGATGTACCATACTAACCAAAACAAAATTAGAGTGGCTACGTTAACATCAGATGAAGTAGATTTCACATCAAAGAATATTAAAAGGGATAAAGAGATAAAGGGGCAATTCATCAAGTGTACATAAAAATCCAAAACATTTCTGCACCTAATAAAAGCTTAAAAACACATGAAGCAAAACTTAATAGGTCTGAAAGGAGAAATAAATCAGTTATAGTAATTATAGTAGACATCAACTACTCACTCAATAATTTTTAAAAATTAATTAATTAATTTTACTTTTGGCTGCATTGGGTCTTCGTTGCTGCACGTGGGCTTCCTCTAGTTGCAGAGAGCGGGGGCTACTCTTCGTTGCAGTGCACGGGTTTCTCATTGCAGTGGCTTCTCTTCTTGCGGAGCACGGGCTCTAGGCACGTGGGCTTCAGTAGCTGTGGCTCGCGGGCTCTAGAGCGCAGGCTCAGTAGTTGTGGTGCACGGGCTCAGTCGCTCCGCAGCATGTGGGATCTTCCCGGACCAGAGCTCGAACCCGTGTCCCCTGCATTGGCAGGCGGATTGTTAACCACTGTACCACCAGGGAAGTCTCCCACTCAATAACTGATAGAAAAAAAAATTAGTGAGGATCTGGAAGAGTTGAAAAACACTACTGAATTAATTTGCCTTTGTATGACATTCCACCCAATAATAGCAGAATGTACATCCTTTTCCATTACTGTGATTGATTTGGGGCAAATTGATTACCCTCTGTCTCTCGTTTTCTCTGAACATAGAATTCGACATTGGCAATGACTTCCTTTCAGCATTCTAAGGCTGTTTCCTAGCTTCCATCTTTTCTGTTTTGGGTCCTAACAGGAAGTCTGGGGTGTCAGCTGGGCCTCACTTCTCTCATGGACACTGACCTCCCGTTTTTGGTCTCCCAAGCGGCCATGAGATCGCAGAAGGCTCCACCAGATTCCCACTCTCCTCCTGTCTCCTTTCTGCTTGGCTTCTAATTGTAAAATGAGAGGGATGGGCTCCTGGCCCATTCATCCATGCATCCAATTTTTATACGTCAGTTTTTGGCACTTTGGGCACTGTTGTAGATGAAATAGACAGCCGAAATCCTTGTTGTCCTTTTATGATTTCTAAATAAGATCTGTGTGAGTTCATCTAGTGCTTGTTTGTTTCTTTTCTCCTTAGAAACATCTTTTGGTTGGGCTCAGAGGTGCGAGGACAAAAATGAATATTTAGACCTTATGAATCAGCAGATGACTTCAGTTCTTTGTGATTTTTAAATTTTATTTTATTTTTTTATTTTTGCTGTGTTGGGTCTCCGTTTCTGTGCGAGGGCTTTCTCTAGTTGTGGCAAGCGGGGGCCACTCTTCAATGCAGTGCGCGGGCCTCTCACTATCGCGGCCTCTCCTGTTGCGGAGCACAGGCTCCAGACGCGCAGGCTCAGTAGTTGTGGCTCACGGGCCTAGTTGCTCCGTGGCATGTGGGATCCTCCCAGACCAGGGCTCGAACCCGTGTCCCCTGCATTAGCAGGCAGATTCTCAACCACTGCGCCACCAGGGAAGCCCCTCTTTGTGAATTTTTTGGCTCAAGGTCAGGTTTGAAGCCATCTCTTATTTTTATTTAACGTGGTTATTTTGTGTTCTGTTCTTCCAGATTTGCCTTTCTAATTAGATTTCACCCAGATAGATGGTAAAAGGAGTTTGCGCTCCCTGGCTGCTCTTAGGAGGGGCAGGGGCTTGTATAATAAGGCTGCTGGGGTGGGGGAAAGAGGTTGCAGCTGGTAGCAAGTACAATGAATCATGCACACATAAATAATAGAGCACAGACCACCCTGGAGCTGGGAGGCCAGGATTGCAGTTTTGAAAAGTATCCGTGTGGTAGGGAGAGTGCAGGATTTTTGAAAGAACCTAAGAAATGACCCCTAACCTTTTGCAGGATATTTATATCCCTGAGGCCCTGGGGTCGCCAGTGGTGAAATGGAAACATGTATGGATTAGTCTTCTCATTTTAAATCTTAGTTTGATGTTTACTATATTATTTGACACCAATTTATTGCAGATAATTAAAATTTTCATCTTTATGTGTACTTAGTCTTTTCCCAAGTTTTCACAATGAATGGGAACTTTTATAATCAGAGAAACAAAACCCATGGTACCTGGAACTTAAGAATAACATTTGTCATCTAGATATTGCGGTGGTCACAAAAGAAATGTTTTGTACAGACGTATAACTCTGTCGGAAGGCAGGGCTGTGGGCAGCACAGACCTTTGGAACTTAGAACCTGGTGCTAATACACCACTTCACCTGGGCCCCCAGGGGCCTCCCTGGTATTGTTAAGTGACCTCAGACTCTGTCTGAGACTAACTGTCTTCCCCCAGTCAACCCTTTCAGGATGGGAGCAGTAGCCCATTGTTCCTCTAAGTCTACAGTGCAGGACAAAGGAGGCTGTACAAATATTTGTTCAGCTTTTTTTTGCTCAACGGGTTGAAACTGAATTGAAGATGGCATCTGCTCCCAGCAGCTCAGGCAGGGACTGCTTGCATCAAACGACAGCAAGTGCTGCCTGCCAGAATATTCATGACTTCGCTGAGTCTGGGACTTTTTTTTTTTTTTTTTTGCGGTACGCGGGCCTCTCTCTGTTGCGGCCTCTCCCGTTGCGGAGCACAGGCTCCGGACGCGCAGGCTCAGTGGCCATGGCTCACGGGCCCAGCCGCTCCGCGGCATGTGGGATCTTCCCGGACTGGGGCACGAACCCGTGTCCCCTGCATCGGCAGGCGGACTCTCAACCACTGCGCCACCAGGGAAGCCCCTGGGACTATTTTTATAAGATGGGAGGGTTCGACTTTGAACAAATTTTGAGTTTCCCTGGGGGGCCAAGATGTGTGTGTGGCAAGGACAAATGCTGGGAATAGAAGGGGAGACTAAGGTTTGGAACCAACGGCACTGCGCTTTTTCCTTTCTACTCTGTTTTATCGTCATCGATGGGCATAGCTTGCTCCTGTATCCGATGAACAAAGATGCTGATGGTTACTCTTTGGCAGGGACCAACGTGCCAGGAGCTGTGCTATGGGTTTGTGCTACTCAGGACTCTTGGGTGCAAGTGATAGTAGAACCAATTCCAGTTTGCTTGGGGAGACGCAAGGATGTACTGGACATGTACTTGAAAAATCCAGGTCCTAGTTTTAGGAGCAACAGGAAGCTGCCTGTCTCTGGACTCTGTTTTCCTGTGTCGGCTCTGGCTTGGCATCCCCTGGTGCTGGTCAGAAGGCCACCAGCTGCTTCAGGCCCCATCTTACCTCAACAACAACAGAGGAAAGAGGTTTAATGGGGGGAACGGTTTTGAGATGCTGCCCAATATATATTTTCCCTGTGGAAATCTTTTTCTTTCCTGTAGCCCCTTCCTCCTTTAAGTTTCAGCCAAGAAGTGTTACTGCCCCAGGGGCAGGGAAGGGTGGGTACCGCTCCGAACCCAAAATCCACAGGGAGGAGGGAGAGGACACCTCCTTCAGAACGGAAGGGGGGATTAAGCCATCAGAGAATAGGGAAAGTGAGGAAAGAGATTGAGAGAGTGAGTCTAGGAAGAATATGACGTCTGGTTCCCTGAGGGGCCTGCGGCCATCTCCGTACCAAGTCTTGACTTACGGAGGGGGTATGATACAAAGACAGAAATCCCAGATAGGCTGAGGAGGAAGCTGTAAAGAGAGAGGGCCTGTGCCCCACTTCTTGTTTGGAACAAAACACCCCGTGCCAACACAGGAGGGCTGCAGCTAGGTGAAGCGTATTGTGGTATACTTTGTGGGGAAATGGTTAGCCATGGTGTCCCGTGTCACCTTCAGTCCCACTGTGACAGAGAAGGGATCCAGGAGCAGGCACTGGTTCCCTGTGGAGGATGAGAAGGTAGCAGAGAGGGGGCGCTCACAGTGTCTGGGAGAACAGGATGGACAGGTGACCCAGTCGTGCCAAGCAGAGTCGGGACACAGGCCTGCGGGAAGGGTGGGCAAAGAGAAGCCGTTTTTCTGCTGGCCTTGCTGCTGCGAGGTTGTGAGCCTGGATCTGCTGGGGTCTCGCATGGAGCCTGAGAGTATAGCTCACATGGAAGGAAGCAAAGCTGGGAGATGGAGAGTCCTTGAAGGCTTTGGTTTCCAGGGCCTGAAGCAGACAGTGCCCTGAGCTTTTAATTTACGTAAGTCAATCAATTCCTTTCTGTTTAAGCGAGTGTGAATTGGGTTGCCTGTCATTTAGAGCAGGAAGTGCCCTAACTCAGGTAGGGAAGAGGGAGGCAGCACCGGGGAAGGGGTAGAGCCTGGAATTAGTGAGAGGACAGCCAGCAGGATCGTGGAGGGAAGGAGGAGAGGTGTTGGGTGGGGGTGGGGTGCGGTGGACTGAGAAACAGGTGGTAGAGTCTGGGGCCATGCTGAGGTGGACAGTGAAAGGATTTTGTGCTGGGAGGTGCGGTTCATGACTGGGAAGGGATTGTGTCAGTGGTCAGGGCAGGAAGGAGCTGAGCACAGTGTGGCATCCCAGAAATGGGGAGAGAAAAGCAGGTTATCAGGATTTAGAAGCAAAGCCTCCCTGGACATTGAGCTTCAGCTGAGGAAGGCAAACCAGGGGGCTGCGTAAATGGTGAGACCATAGAGCAGATGCAATTGGGAGCTGGCAAGAGATAGAATTTGGTGCTGGGAGTGCTGAACTGAGATGGAAAGTTCTAAGCAGAAAACCAGAGAGTAGGTAGAAATATGGGTAAAGTATCTCCGTGTCGAGTGTGGATCAGGGAGCCATCAATACAGGAGTGAAAGCAGAGGCCAAGTGAGAAACTCCTCCAGAAAGTGCGCCTGGGAGGTCAATAGTAAATATACTTAGGAGCCTGTTTTCCGCAAGACCAGTTGCTCTAGGGCACGTAGGGGTCACTGCAGTTCCTGAACTGACACCAAAGTCCTGTCTGACAGTCGCAGTTGGTCAGATCATCTCACGCAGAGAAATCAGGTAGGAATCACCACCAGCTGGGACCCAACATTTGAAAGAAATGACCCCCAATACGGTATCATATCAAGTTCAACTGCACGTCTCTCGGGTGTCTTAACAGGGAGTTACAGAAATCAGTCAAGTGCTCTGTGGCCTTCCAGTAGCTCCGAGAACGCTGAGAACCACAGGACGGGGAAGGGGTGGGGAGAGACGTTGCCCGGGCCGCGACCTCGCCAGGGCGCCTGCAGGCCATCCAGAGACAGCAGGGTGACGGTCTAGAGTTGACACATAGGGCCGGATGTGGTGGGAGCCGGAAGGGAAACGTGGAGTAGCCTGCGGGTGGGGTGGGGGGGCAAGGTGGTGAGAATCGTGACAGTTTGGATCAGTCACCGGCAATGGTGGACCCCAAACACTCGCGTCCAGCTCAGCACCGGCCCCCGGGTGGCGCCGGGTCAGGCACACGGTCCACAGGCACCCACACTAGGACTCCGGGCCGTTTCTGTGTACCCGGCCTAGGCGGGCGTCCATGCATCCCTGATCCCGAGTCCCGCGTTGTTACGCGCGCAGAGGCCCTGCGCTCAGGTGGCCGCGGTCCCCGCGCACTCAGGGTGCCCGTGACCATGACTTTCGCACGCTGGGATCTCTGAAGACTGGCCCGTCTCTGGGGCCTGTGTTTGACCTCCTCCAATCAAGTGTCCTCTCCGCAGTCCCTCTGCTCCCTTCCGGCCGGCCGGGCCGCACCGCATCGCCGCCTCCGGGGCGGAGCTCGAGGGCGGCGAGGCCACTAGGGGACGCTGCGCACCGTCGCGCTGCCCCGAAGTCGTTGCGCGCCGCCCTCGCCTCCCCCTGCGCCGGGCGGAGCGGGCGGCGAGCGCGGAGCCGGGCGCGCTGTGGCGGAGCCGGGGCCGGGCCGGGACCATGGGCGGTGAGCGCGGCGCGGGCCGCGGTCGGGGTGGTTACCTTTGAGGCTGAGCGGAGCCTCCCGCGGAGGCTCGAGGCGGGCGGGTGTCCCGGGGTGCCGGTCTCGGAGGCCGAAGGGGTCCTCTGGACGCGCCAAGGCCGGGACGACCGGGCAGTGACTCCGGTGGGAGAGGGGTGGGGAGTCGGGGGCGCGCTTGCGAGCTCCGGGTCTGAAGCCCGTTACTGAGCTCCCTCCTCCATCCCCGCCCCTTCCCCAAACCCCAGCCCCCGACTCGCTTCCACTCCCCCACGCCCACGCGCCCGGATCCCAGTCCCCGCCTTCTCATCCACCGCCCCCTCTCCTAGCCCCAGCGCCCCCTAACCCGGCCTACGATTCCGCCGCCCTTTCCCCAGGCCTTTGCCCCGCAGCCTCCGGTGGGTGCCTCCCTTCACCCGCGCTGCGTCCTGCTTCTCCACCTCCAGCCCCGCACCTCGCCAGCCTCCATCCGCGGTCCCGCCCCTCCAGCCCGCTCCTGCCCGGCCCCCGCACTCCTGCCGCCTGATTCCTGCCGGAACTGGAGCTCGCAGGATCCCCCTTCCCCGGCCGTGGCGAGCCAGCTGGTCTCCAGGTAAGGAGGCTGCGGTGACGGCAAGTTCTCTGCCGTCTTCCTCGGGGGTGGGGCCGGCTCCTGCCGGCAGCTACCTGCGCCCGGTAGTCCCGGGGCCCAGCGGAGGGGGCCGCTGCGTGCGCAGGTTAACATTCCAGGATGCTCAGGTTAGGACTGCGTGGTTTACACCCCCGGCGTTGTTTTTGCTCGTGAAATTGCTTAGGTCGCAGTCTTTTAAAGAAGCCGGCTTTGTTACACACACGAAATTGGTTGTGCTTCGAGCTGGTGGCCTTCTTGGCGGCTGCAGCGGTCTTTCAAGGTGTTAAGTGTGGGTGGTTAAAGGATTAGCAGTGCCGGAGGATGTGGAGCCATATATTCCCGCTTCAGCGGGGCGTTTCGAGGGGAGGGAGGACATCCCCGCCTGGGTGGCCAGTGCCTTCGTGGGAACACAAGGATGCTTTGTAAGCATTCGAAAAGTAAAATCAGGAGAGATGTGGAATCAGATCGCGTGCGAATGGGCAAGTGTGGGGTGGACGGCCAAGGGAGCCTCAAGAAGGCTCCACAACTTGGGAACATCTGTTGCTGTTTGCAGAAGGCCCGCGGGTGAACCCGAGTGTGGAGCAGGCAGTGCCCAGCCAGCCTCACAGACGTGACGTGACTGCGGACGGAGCTTGGCAACAACTCCTCCTCGGAGGTGTTGGTGCCCCGTCAGGACATCTGTGCGAAGAGGATCTAAAGCAGGTGGTTTGAAAAGCCTCGTGTTCCCTGGAGAGAGGTGGAGATGCAGGGTGACAGCCAGAAAGCCAGTGCATGAACCTGCCCCATCCCTTCTCCTGGCTTTCAGTAAGTCTTGGATTAAGTTAATTGCCTATTTTAGAGAAGGGGCTTGTAGGAGTTGTGTCTCTTCTACAGATTAGCTCCTGGCCAGCCCACCCTCACTGATGATGCTTGGGAGGCTACTTTTGGGCACCAGGGCCTAGGTGGGCCACCTGACCTTTGGAGCACTTGCATTTGGAGCATTTGCGGAACTGCGATATCTGCAACTCTTTCTTTTTAGTGATTGGCTCGAAGAGTAATTAGCTCAATATTCGTTCACTGTTGAGTAGTGAATTAGTAAGTAATTAGCCCAAGGTCACACTGGGGCTGGGTAGGCTCCCTCTGAGTGCCTACACACTCCTGTGGGTATCCCCTCAACCCCCGCCAGGTTGCTGTGTGATGAGTTGTTGAATGTCAGATGCCCCACTGCCCAGGATAACCTTCAGCTGTGGGGTGGAACCATCTTTGTGGCCCCAGACCCAGCCTGGCGCCCTCTAAGTGACAGGTACTCAGTGTTTGTCTAGTAAAGAAGTGGGTGTCTTTCCTGAATCCAGGCTGAGTCCATTACCCATGGTTTTCCATTGTGCTGCACTGTTTCCAAAACATCATCCTTTGATTTATCAGATTTTAAAGAAATACCTTATCTCAACAGAGACCTTCATTTCTGTGTATATTGGGGGCAGAGAGCTCAATTTATGGGTCAGGCTTTGACAGCTGGGTCTCTGACCTCAGAGGGCACTCCAGAATTTCCATGAAGCAAAGCAGTTGTCCTCATGCCACAGCTAGGGTGAGGTGAGGGGCACTGTGGGCAGCTAAGGCTTCCTGCTGAGGGGTGCGTCCTCCACAGCTTAGCCTCTAGGGCCCTGAGCTGTGGCCGCGGCCCCCTTCAGCGTCCCTCATCCCTGCGCATGGTGGGGGAAGCCACTTGCGGAGCCCTGCTGGCTGCTTCAGACCACAGCATCTTCCCTCCAGTGGCTGCTGCCCACACCAGGGAGAGCTGGGAGCGCCTCTTCTTGCACTTTTTGGGCAATCTGATTTGCTGTGCTGTTGCGGGGGAGGGAGGCTGGTGTTTTGGCAAGATGTTTCTGTCTGTGGGAAGTGGCCGTGACCCACTGGCAGGTAGATCAAAGTCTAGCTCTTCGGCCTCTGTCAAAGGCCAGCTCTGGAGAGAACGGCCAGAGGCTAAAGGGGTGGGAGCAACCTGTGTCCCCTTTTCTCAAGAGTATGGAAAGGGCTGGAATTCAGAATGTCCCTTTGATGTGGGAACCTGCACTGCCCACAGGTTCACAGCTGTCATGGGCTTATCTTCCTCACCTGGACTGTCTGTGTCTCCAGGTCTGGCTCATACCCAGGATAACTGCAGCTGGTGAAAATCTGTTTTCTAGAAGACATTTAATTAATGCCTGCAGTTTGTGAGTGAGAAAGAAAGGGGGGGAGGGAGAGAGGAAGAGAGAGAGAGAACTTCCTCTGCGGAGGGGGTTAGGAAAAAGGGTAGCAGAATAGCCAAGGTCCTGAAAACTCACGGAGGTAGACTTCAGCCCCGGGACGAGGCTCTGGGCTGGTGGATGAGGACGTGGGCCCACATTCAGGTGGAGGGGTTGCCATTCGGAGCGAAGTCACTGTGATTGGAAAAACGGCCCCACAGTTACCTGGAATAAGGTGTGCTGGGCCCACTGTTCTGCTTCCTAGAAAGCCTTGAAAGCCAGCTGAGGGCTGGGAGAGCACTGAGCCATTTGAAGGTTTGGATGAGGGTTGTGCCCCTTTGGAAAAGGTGGCTTGAGTGATGCCATGGGTCTGGGATCTGGCCTGGGGGAGGCAGCTCACACCTGAGATGCTGAGGGGAGCGTTCAGGCCGGTGGCCAAAAGAGATGCGGCTGGGAGGGTCTGTGCCCCTGCACTTAGGGGGTGGAGAAGAGGTAACAGCTGCCTTCTGGTAGGATGGTGGGCCTGTTGGCAGAAGCAGCCTCCCGCACACTCTTCTTGAGCCTGCTGGGCAGCCTTGCGGATGGTGTAGGGCCTGCTAAGGCCCCTCAACCTGGAGATCCTGCAAGGCAGCCACGAGGAGGCACCCGTGAACCGGGAAAGACCTGTAGGTCTGCTCTGAGTCCAAAAGGCAGGAGGGCCAGGGTGGCCTGAGCCGCAGACTCCAGGATAGTAAGTAGCCTTCATCCCTAGAGCCAGGAGGCTGCTCCGAATCTTCTTGGGCCTTGGTTAGGGAGGCCACTGGCTTTGGAAAAGAAACAGGGCTATCAGTAATGAAGAGAGGAGACATTGCAGGAGCATGGAGGATGTTAATGATTAAAAAGGCATTGAGGGCTTCCCTGCTGGCGCAGTAGTTAAGAATCCTCCTGCCAATGCAGGGGACACGAGTTCGAGCCCTGTTCCGGGAAGATCCCACATGCCGCGGAGCAACTAATCCTGTGCGCCACAACTACTGAGCCTGTGCTCTAGAGCTTGCGAGCCAAAACTACTGAGCCCGTGCACCACAACTACTGAGGCTGCACTCTAGAGCCCACAAGCTACAACTACTGAGCCCTCATGCCACAACTACTGAAGCCCACGTGCCCTAGAGCCTGTGCTCCACAAGAGAAGCCACCGCAATGAGAAGCCCACGCACCGCAATGAAGAGTAGTCCCCGCTCACCGCAACTAGAGAAAGCCCGCGCGCAGCAGTGAAGACCTGACACAGCCAAAAATAAATAAGTAAATAAATAAAATTTATTAAGGAAAAAATAAAGGCATTGAGAAAGGACTTGGAGGAGCCTAGTTATGTGGTTCCTGCAGCCAGGAGGCAGCCTTCACCCATATCCTCTACTCCGCAAGGAGTATCTGGGATTCATCCCTGCATTCCGGGCCCGCCCTCCCTCCCTCCTGGTCCCTCTGCCCCACCCTCCTGCACTGCACACATTGATCGAGCCACCTCTGTACTGGTACTAGGGTGGAGGAGAGGTTGGGCAACTCAAATATCTAGTGGTAGCAACTTAGGAACTTGTAAATTCTGTGTGTATTTGCGTAGTCACTTCCCCAACGTATGTGTTCATGTTTCTGTATTATGAGGCATCCTTTTGTCATCTGCTTACCACTCTCTCTGTCTCTGTGTATAACCAACTTCCTTAGAGCCACAATCAACAGCATAGAAACCAGAGCTTTAACGAACAGACTAAGATGAAAATTATTGCACCGGGTTCTGATACCGCCTGCCCCCTCCTGTCCTCTCCTCTCCTGTTTGTGGTCAGACTCGTCATTTACACCCAATTTACAAATAGTTGGAATACTATTTGAACTACCCCTCAATTACATGGAGACATGTGTCTTGCCAGCTAACAGAAACCACAG